TCACTCCAGCGAAGAGGATAGGAAAGACCGTGGGCCCATACTTTGCCGCAGCTCTAAGATTAGGAATGGGTGCTGTATCCGCCTTTTCACCTTCGTGTTGCTTGACATAACCCGCGTAGGCCAGAAATATCACCGGTGGAATGACCAGCAGTAAGCTTAGGAAGAGCTCCCAGACTTTGCTTTCGAGTAGATGTACCCTCCTATTGGGATGCACATCATGGATGGTGAGAGGATGATATTCGGTTCCGCCCAGTGATCTGGTCTGATGTTTGTCGCCTTTCTTATTTATCCTGTTTTCTTCATTCCTTGTCAGACATGTATGCCTTGTAGAACTGGACATGATTTCCGGCTGCCGCTGAGCAGCGACAAATGAGTGAGCTAATGTGAGAGAAGAGAGCAGACAAATGACGACTATTTTATGAAGCACCTGAGGTGACGATGCGGCCGAGCAGTCGCCCGAGATGCACGATAGTCAGAGTGCACGGATGTGGCTGAGTCACTCAACTGGGCAGCTCTGCTGGTCGTGTGTGTCCGCCAAGTGATGTTACAGGAATATTTGCGGCACAGTTGGGGCGCAGTGCGGCAACTATGAAGACACGGCTTGGAACGTGAGATTAGGTTCCCATATTCCAATCATTTTGCCCGCTTTGTCCAACGTGATATGTCGCCCCGTGCCGGTCAGCCCCTCCCCCGCCTTCAATCAAGTTCTACGCCACGTCAATCTTTTTTTTGGAAATACTTTGCTGCCACGAAGAGCTCTTTCTCAATCTGCTTGATCTTCAATTTCCAGGTTGCCCACGCGAAACTTCTTCCCTTTCATATCTGCATAATCGTTGTGATTATGGTAATTTTTCACGCGTTCACGGACGTACTCTAAGCCGCTCACTGGAGCAGCATCCTCCGATTTCTCATCGATGAGTCCAAGCCGTTTCAGTAGCGGGCTTGGTGCAGGCTTGATATCAACCGTATCGCCGGGCCTGACAAAGTAGAAAAGTCCTAAACGGTGAATATGGGCCTGGTCCTTGGGTGGTCGCACGACGCGATGGATCGTGGACTTTAGATACCCAGCCGACCAGAAATCCAAGGTGTCCCCGACGTTACAGATGATACCATTATCCACAGGCGGGACGTATTTCCATTCTCCTTTCGGCGTTTTGAGCTGCAGTCCTGCAACGTTCTGGCTCCAAAGTAGTGTCAAGCTGCCAAAATCCGTATGTGCACGTGACCAAGTGTTTTCCACACGCGCATCCGCTTCGAGAGGGCGTGGTCGATAAATCATGTAACGCAGATGATCTTCGCTCTTGTCTTCGTAAAGATGTCTTCTGGAGAAATAGTCTTCTGGCAACTCAAGAATGATGGAGAACAGCGTGAAGATTTTGGAGGCTAGTTCCAGGGAGCGTCGCGAGAAATCTTCGATCGTAGGTTGGTACTGGCGCAGATAGGGATGAAATGGTTCATTCTCGTTTGCTGGAATGAATTTTGGGATGTTCACCGATTCGACGTTATCCTTGACATCTGTTCCCATGATGGTCTTCTCGTTCGCCTTGTAGGACATCAGTGGCCATCAAAGCGGTCGTTGAGATAGATATGGCACTTACGGCCCGATAACCGAAATAGTTGCCTTGAGCAAAGTCGCATCGATATCTTCTGTCGCCCTTCTCTTCCAAGGGAAGATCGAAATACGCCTGCCCGATGTCATACTGTCGATCGACTTCGTCCTGCGAGAATCCCGTGCCGGTGACGCTGAAAAACCCTGTATGATGGACGGCATCCCGTAGCTCCTCAGCCAACTCTTTCCTTCCGCCCGGCTGGTCGAACTTGGAGAGATCGATGACCTTGATATCCGCCCATTCTAGCTCTTGCTCTGTCTTTGCCGGTCGCTTCCATTTTGGGATTGGGGGTGGTTCGGGAATTATGACTGCAGGCATGGCTTTTCGTTCTACTTTCGGAAACAGATTGTTGACGATCTGCTCTTCCTATACTTTCAATGTTACAGTAAATGTTAGGTGTTGAAGATGTGTTGGGATTGCATGCACTTGTCATGTTACGTAGTACGATCGGCGCCGTGCGGAGTCGTCGAGCACGCAATTCCCCGCCAAGATTCGTGACCACAACCATCGTCCTGTCACCAATTTTGGTTTCCCATTACTCTTCTGGTACATTTTGCCAATATCTTCTGGCTTACCTTATGAGCAAAAATTGATCGTTGCTGGGTACAGTTGGCATCGACATATTCTTGTGACGCATCGACTCCGACAGCTAAGATTTGTTCCACTCACCATTGTAGATCCTAGAACGATATGTTCGAAGAGTCTTCGTTCCTCACCCAGCAGTACCTACCGTCAGAGAGTAAAAATGGTACTATGACAGATTTCAAATATGACTCTAGGAGACTCCAGATACAGAACGAACAATATCCCTAGCGAGTACATACCCTAGGTATTATATCTGAAGGGTGGAGGACTAAGGCAACCCTGCCCCACACACTCGAATGTCACGGGGAATAGACTACACTTTGGAGACAACCTTCGCTCGTACCCCCTTCGAGCCCAATCTAGGGTGTGAAACATGATAATCATGCAGAAACTTCACATCATCTTCATCCGTCTCGAAGAGTTCCATCTCATACCGGGCGACAGCAGCGATGGCCATGCACATCTCGGCATTGGCTAGATTGATCCCGATGCACTTGTGTGTCCCTCGACCCATTGACATCATGTATTTGCGCCTATCCAATCCTTCTCGTCCAAGAAACCGATCTGGGTTGAAGGTCCACGGGTCCGGAAAGATGTCTTCATTCGTGTGGATACATAACGTCGACATGCTTACCGCTGTGCCAGGCGGCAGCGCGTACTGCTTGTATTGGAGTACTTCAGGTTCAGGCGCGACCCTTGTATTGCGGAACGTCAGACCAAAAGATAGGCGGTTCGCTTCGTAGATAACGGCCGAAAGGTATGGGAGTTGTTCGAGTGCTTTGAGAGTAGTTGGGTTTCCTGCTTTACTCAGCTCATCACGAAGATGAGACATTATAGATGGGTTCGCGAGGAGGTGGTAATGCGCAATTTGCATAGATTTTGCTGTGGATTCGGTACCTGATTTCACCATTAGAGATAGATCCTTCGACAAAGATATGCACATACCAGCCATGATCAAAAGCGAGCCTTCCTCTTCCAGTCGGTCGATCGTTCTCTCGTCGTCGGGAAGATCAGAGTTGTCTTTGAGACCATAGAATACCGAATTGACCGGGCCCTTGAGTGTGTTCTCGCTGTCTGCGAATATCTCTTCGAGGTCGTGACGAATGACCTAAATGGTTATGATGTTATCACCTATTGCCGGTCGAAGGAAAGAAGATGGTGACGACGAACCTTGCGAAAGTTTATCAGGTCTGACACTCCAGGTGGAACTAAGGAATCGGTCATGCTTTTCGGAAGTAGTTTCGTGACCCCCAGTACCCAGCCAAAGTAGAGGTTGAACTTGGTACTCCTAAGAAGCTGGCCTAGATTGTTCCGTAGACGGTTTGCCTCATCCAGGTGTGCTAGAACGTCTTGATCTTGCCCAAAGCTGTACTTCCTGACAATACTACCACAAGATTAACATTGCCCTGAATCGAACACTGTGTGGGAACATACTCAAGAGCCAGGGCAAAGTTCAAATCGGATAGGTTGAGAACTCGTTCGGAACCGACAAACTCGTCAATGGTATGGCAGAACTCCTGTACCTTTTCTTGAATCAAAGTCTCGGTGTCCAGCACTTTCTTGTGGCTGAAGAATGGGCTTAGTGCGTCACGTCTCTTGCGATGGACGTCCCAATGTTCCGCACTACCCACTGATCGATCCAATGGCAACCCTTGCATATTGGGCATATATTTATTGCGTTTTCTTGAGGGCGGATTGTAGATTGGGTCCAAGAACTCCACATCATTGACGTGAACCTCTTCTGGACCGATGCGTATGATATTTCCTACGTTGATTAGCCTAATTCTAACCATAGCGTGCGTGGATAAACAACCGTATTTCTTATGCAACTCTTTAACCTTGAAGACGTATTGTGCGGGATAGAAGACATCGTAATAAGCCGCATACATCGTCGTCAACGCCGCTAGCTTTGGACCGGGGACCGCGGCAATTGGACTCAGGACTAATCGATAGAATGCAGTATACAGAAACCATAGTACCAAGCCCAACGCCAAGGTGAATACGGAACCCCCAAAATCGACATTACCGATGGCGATGGCATTGCTCATTTTCCTCAACACTGCGATACAACGCAAAATGCTTAGTGAAAATGAAAATCAATCCGCTGAATGGGTGGTGTTCTGAACCTTCTCAAGCCGTTCCCGCGCCTTAAATGATCATGCTGGAACGCTAGGTCTTACATATGTAAGCACGTTTAAGGCGGGACGCGCAATACTAATCCACGGTAAATTTCCTTTTCGAGCTCTACATTTCGAAAGAATGCACAGCTAGAGTGACTTATTGAATCTGAGTATGCAAAGAGCGAGGTTTCCGATGACGTCACTGGGCATACTACTGGTAGAGTGGTACTTGCCTTGACCCTTTGTAGGAACAGTAGGGCTTGGCGCGTGCGAGCTTGAAATCCACTTAATCAACGACTTTTTGTTCTTTGGTGTCGTTGTGATGATGCCAACATCGACCAATGACCTTTCTAGGAAAGAGCTCACGAATACGTCTGAAATGCGCCGGCGCTTGATTCATGTTAGGAATGTCTTGATAGTGTCTCTGAGTGACAGCGATCTTCGGGCATGATGGCGGATGAACGACTAGTCCACATACACCGAGGCGCAGCGCAGGGCTGGAAATTCTCGTACATATTGCGCAACCAGAATGACACTACAGCTTCGGCCCAATCATCTGGATGGAAAGCCAGCCATAGGCCGCGATGGCTCTTGCTAGATATAGCTAGCCTAGCTCGCTTCTGCAATCAGAAATCCTTCTCGTAGCACAAATGCAGAACCAAAAGAGAATTCAAAAAAAAAAATGTGACCACACCCTGATTCGAACAGAGAGCCTTCAGGATTCTCGAACTGGAATCTGACGCGCTACCGTTGCGCCATGCGGCCTCGAATGATAGATTGAGACGAATTCTAAGATTTTTTTCGTTACAAAATATATATCAGTAGAGTAAGAGTGCGTTGGAAGAGCAATGAGGGCTGCTGAGACCTTGCTCTAGAGCGGGGCTAGCGCAATACCCGAAGCAGAGGCCTGAGCCACTGTAGGATTCGCTTAGTACTGTTGGCGCTGGTGGCCGCTAACCTCACAACACCTAGGCAACGGTCGTAACGCTCCTCATCCACATCACCCAAAGAACAAAGACTCAGCAATCTGAAGCTCTTACGAGGCAAAGCTTTAATCTCTCCCACACTAATGAGGTAACCCGGTCGTAACGCACCAAAATTGACGACGACCAGACACTGGACACGCGCATAGCCTAGACCGCGCTATGTCATCTGCGTTGTGCTCGTCAAGAATGAATCATCTGAGCAGATGTGCTGTATAAACATATGGAAAAGTTCATCAATGAGGAGGGGAGTTCGGCGTGATGAATGAAGGATTCAATCTGAAGGACGCCGCAGGGCCCCATCTCAGCCTGTCGCGACACCCGGAAGATGCTGTTGGCACTCTCTTGCGGTTCCGTCGCGTAGAAGTCTACCGCTAGCCAGTTCCAAGATTATCACCTTGTCTACGATCCATACGGTCCCGACTGTGCCCTATCCTCCAGCAAATTATCCTTCGTCACGCTCGAGCTACTATCCGCCCCTTCCTCGTTTTCCACGCGATCTGCTCTTCCAATCTCTCGAGCGTGCAACGCCCGGATCACGAATGCCGTTACAATGAGTGCGGCGCTAAGGAATGTCACAGTTATGAATCCCTTCCTGTACTCTGGGGCGTCGACTTGCTGCCAGACGATGAGCGGTAGCCAGGCCTGCAATACATAGGCCATCTCATTCATAGACGCAATCACAATTGCTCTTTCCTCGTTATCATGGGTGCATATCTCGTGCGCCCACCTACATGGTCGCTCAGTCAGCCAAATATCTCTTCTGGGGGACTGTTACTTACGCCATGCATAAGCCCGAGAGCCCGCCGCCCATCCCAGACATGATGTAGCATGCCCACTTCCACTGAACGGGTATGTCCCAAATCGCAAGGCTCACATAGCAGATGATGTTGATTAAGCCACCAAATACAATAGGTGGCCATCTCGCACCGCGCAACACGCTATCGCTGACCCATGCATACACCAGCGTTGTGAAGACCTGGACTGCATTGGTCGTCGTAGGATAGGTATTGATCTGCGAGACGGTGTACTTTGGGTTTTTAGAATTCTTCAGATACTGCGCGAATATCGGCTGCGACCCCGCGCCGCCATTGTTGAAGAAGATGTATAGCAGCGTCAATGCATATATATGCCAGGATGTAAGAATCTTCCAGATCTTTGCTCTCGTGTACGGTTCGCGTTCTTTTCGCCCTTCCTTTTCCATTCTCTTCTGTGCGAATGCAACTTCGGATTCGGTCAGGTAGAAGGGTCTCGAGATCTCGGGCACGTCAGGTAGGACGAAGTAGCCGGCCAGCGCGACGGGAAGGGATATGACGCCGTCGATAATGAACAGCCACTGCCATCCAGCAAAGCCCCCTCTTCCACCAAGATGGTATACACCTGCCATCAGGTAGCCTGAGAACATGGTGGCTATCGCGGAGCTGGTATGAAAAATGCATGAGCGTTTCGCGAGTTCTTCCTTTCGATACCAGGAGCCGATGATGTACTGCATACCGGGATAAAACGTGCTCTCAGCTAGGCCAATGAAGAAGCGGAGGACGTAGACTGTTCGCGCAGTTGTGGCTCGCGAGAGACAGAAGGTGAGAACCGCCCAGAGGAGTTCCATGGTGGGTATCCAGCGCGAGGGACGGAATTTGGTGAGTATGATATTGCTGGGTAGCTCGCCTATTACGTAGCCGACTGTCCAGCATGTCTGCATGTAATTGAGTTCATTGCCGTATAGGTTCAGATCCTCTTTCCTGTGGGATATTATTTTTAAATTCATTTGACACTGGAAATCATCGCACGTACATGCCAGAGACGAATGCACTGTTAATGTTTGACTGATCCAAGTACTTGATGAAGTAGCCTATGAGGAATCAGTATGTATCTAATTAGGATGGAACTTCCGTTATGTGTCGCATACCAAGCGATGCGAAAGTAAGCAGAGCAGCGTCTAGTTTAAACATGAACCATCGTTCCTCTTTAGGCTTGTCAAGCGTGTCCCATAGGTAGTAGTACCACTTATGCGGCTTCTTCGACTGCTCATCCCGTAAACTGGTTGTCGCTTGCTTCACTATCCGAGATTGACTCATGGCTGTCGCGACTTGAATCCGTGTAATGGTGAGAAGATCAGAGCGAAAGGAGCCGTAAGAGATAAGCTGATTAGGCTGCGTCACCTGTGAGGACGACAAGAGCTCGAAAGTATATTATGTCATACGCGCAGTGGGAGTCACGGATCTGCATTCAGTAGGGTCAGGGATCAACTTGCACGCCTGGCATGGATCAGCCATTGGTACAGCGGATACGTTACAAGGGGAGCACTTCAAGATCACAAGTTAGTAATAGGTGATATGTAGTCGTAACACTCCTCAAAACACACTGGCAGGAGTTTCACGAGTTTCGCGACGATGTCCTGACTCAAGCGTGGCAGGTGTCAATTGCTTGACCCAGGATGTGTGAACGGATGCGTACTTGTCGGTCCTGTCACTGGGTCACGGAGTATGATCCTGCGTATTGAATATTTGGGGGAGCATGATCAACAGCCGGTATCGAACACCTAGCTACCTGTAGCGGCAGGTTGCGATCTGAATACCATAGAGCACAATGCGGGGTTGCTTGCTCAGGATGGGAAGGTTGCAGCTGTCGTGATGAAGGGTGCAAATGACGTGCCCTCTATCCGAAAGGCTGCATGCAACCTTATGGAAACGTGGCGCATATGGCTGTGGAATGTGTCTTTGGAAGGAAAGATGCACGATTCTCGTCTGATCATTGTTCTGATCGTGTGGGGGGAATATTGAGAAGAGAAGTCTAATAAACATTCATGACCGTGGGTTGAGAAGAGAAGAATCATGACGCTAACCCTTTTACGTCCTAGCCAAGTCTCATGACGCGACGCAACCTTGAAACTGCCCTTATACGCACGACACCGGAAGCTCGCGTGCAGGCGCACCATCCCCAGCGAGTAAAGCCCTCATCCTGGCGACCATCTCGCCTCTCGCTTCATGCCATTGCGGCGTGTGCCCTTGCAACTTTGCGAGGCCCGAATCTTGCAAGTCGGCATTGACCCACTCCAGCAGCTCATCCACGTACTCAACCTCCTTCTCCCTCAAGCTATGGAAGGCCTTGCCGTAACCTTTAGCCGCCACCCTCTGCTCATATTCCGACCTCATGGCTTCCTTACTGGGAAGTCTCGCCTGGCCACTGAGGACCTTGGCGACAACCATGGCTTGGAACTCGAACAGCGTGAACGTCGCCGTGAAGTAGGGAACACCCACGAAAGACAACGATGGATCCTCGATGTAAAATATGTCCTTGTGCAAATTATGCAGTTGATTGCCATCGGTGACAAGGACGGATTTTCCCGCCTCCTGGGGCAGTACCTCATCTGAATGGAACTCAGGGAGGAATGGCAGAGTAATGTTGTATCCAGTACACACGATGACGTGGTGAATGTCGCATAACGTTCGTCCGGACTTGAGTGTTATTCTAGCTGGAACTGCAGCCTTGTCATCAGTGGAGACATCCAGTCCCTTCTCCAAAGTACCAAATGATGCGATCTCGTCGACTCTGACTGCATTCTCGGGAAGGAGACTGGCAGGTAGGTCAAATGCTCCCTTTCGGTTGCTTTGATATATCTGGTTTGCAACAGGTCCCAGCTCCCGGGCAATGTCAGTGGCAGACACACTTCCCCCAATCAAGAGGACATTCTGAGTCCGTTAGCCAACAGACTAAGAACCACACCATCTCCAAGTTGGACCACCCACCTTTCCCCTAAACTTTTCAGGTCTCCTATAACCTTTGGAATGCTGCACTCGATTCGGATAGTGACGCTTCCACTCAGCCAGCCCAGGGACATCAGGGACCCGTGCAGCATGATAGTGTCCCGAGGCGACGACAACATAGTCGAACTCCTGAAGCGGACGTTAGATGACATAGAAAAACCACTTTGTTGACTTACTTGGGCGATGTTTTCGCGATGCAATTGTTCGGATGGCTCAGAACGAAGAGTTACGGCATCTAGCTTCCATCGTTCCCCACTCTTAGTCAATTTCTCAACTTTTGTGTTGTAAAATGTTCGGCTCTGTATTCCGCTGCTCTGTGCAAGGCTCTGAATATACTCCCCTAGAGAACTGTGACTGACATAATCAGGGGTACCTGGAGGGAATTCTCCTAAGGTTGTTCGGAGTAGTCTGGTGCCGACATTATTCATCAGACCCCAATAGCAAGGGCTTTCCTTGGCGAATATGATTAGGAAAATTATTTTAATCTCTAGATGCCTACGAAGATGCTTACCCTGGTGGAGCATGGAGAAGTCTTTCGATTTCTCCATCTGTACCCACTGCAGATGTCGGATCAAATTGATCATAGTATTCTTCAGCTTTCGATGCCACGATTGAGGGATATCTTGGTTCAAGCGAGATGCGCTCGTCGAATGACCTACAATCCTTTAGTCGAAATCTTCTTTGATAGGATTTATCACTCACCATACGCCCCCTGCAACATGCGAGCGTTCAAAGACGGTAACTTCAAGGCCTTCCGTTTGCAAGTGCGCTGCCGCAGTAACACCACTGATTCCAGCCCCGATGACTGCAACACTTTGAGAAACATTGCGAGACATGATGACTCGAAGCGATGGACGACCTCCTAACTTGTAGCACTCTTGGACGGACGAAATGTCGATTCCTTCTAAGTCACGTCAAAACCCACGAGCAGACCGGCATCCGAATTTGGTCCGCTCAACTTTCGATTTCAAATCCAGTATGAGTAACAATTGCCAACGTTCTGCCACTTGATACCATG